CACAGCATAGTTGTGTATAGAGCTGGATATATATATAACAATACATACTACAACAACAAATCCAGTGAGTAAACGAGACTTGTAATGACTTTCTGCTATCGCCGTGTCGTCCCTTTTGTATTCTGATTGGGAATCTTCCCTACGGAAGGGAATCACGGGAAAGCTCGCGAGAAAGGCTTCATACTCCGCACAAGTCCCGCATCTTTTGTTGCAATATGATCCAAAAGGGCCATACGGTGACAATGAATTGTGACATGTTGTATCGTCCATTGAAGTTAAAATCTCGCAACATTCAGTAGAGGTCTGTGCCAGACTGCAAACCACATAGAACTCCAAGGAGTCCTTTATCTCCCCATCATCACATGTTGATGTCGGTTTGTTTGAGCTCGGTTCGTGTGATGGCGGGGGACTGATAGTGGGAGCAGTAGTCGAGGGGCAAAATGAAGGAACGGGTGAAGGTGGTGTTGTTGGTGCTGAGGATAACGTCGGAACGAGAGTTGGTTCTTTAGTGTAGGATGGAAATAGACTAGGACCATGGCTTGTAGTCGGATTCGGTGATGGTTCTGAACTAGGAAAATTTGTGATGGGAGTTGGCTCTGGAGAGGGCAATATTGTAGGAGCATCCGAACAAACACCCTCATGCAGGTTGCCGCGCATTGAATACACGCTATTTCGATTGCCATAGCTACCATTGAAAATTGATCCAGAGTAATCTTGTATAGAGTACTTCACATAGGTAGCATCTGCCCAGGCTGTTCCACTACAGCACTGAAATCTGTAACAGCCATCATCTAGACAGAATTCGACCACTTTGAGAAGACGGGTCTCAGCAGTGCCAGAGTCTTGATAATTAGCAAAACTTAAGAGTCTACGATCCCACCTATCTCTGATCTCAAACAACAGGCCCATCCAGCCTTTATCTGCGTCGCCATGCATTGTCAGATTGTAGCACGATGGTGCATTCGAGGGGGGATAACTTAAAGAGGGATAAAAAGACGGCGTCGCGAGATTCACCGGTGATGCATTTGCGGAAGGCCGCGTCGGCACCATTGATGGTTCTTGTGCATGACATAGATGAGTAATAACATAAAATTCCATTATCACTAGCATGATTCCCGCTCGAGAATGAAAAACTTTAGCAGCAAATTTTCATAAGGGAGCAATTTAATGTTCCCGCGTATCCGTGTCACCCGGTGTCACCCGCTCCCAGCCACACGATGGTAGCAGGAGAGTGAAGACTACCACGTTTTAGGCCCGCGTAAACTCTGCCCAAGTGCCGTCTGGATTGCGTTGGACCTTGGCCTTATGAGCAAGCTCCTGCCACCTGCGCTGTCGGCTGCGCGACGCGCCGGTGTGCGGTGCGTTGCAGTCGTTTCTTGTCTCAACGCGCCTACGAAGGTGTGGCGTCACTGCCCTAAGTCAGAGCCGGCAGCGCGGGCCTCTGCGGGGCTGCTACGAGCTCCGGAGCGCGCCGTCGTCGGGGCAGCCCCTGCGCGTCCGCGCCGTCGTGAGGCTCTCATGGAATTGCCGACCGGCGTCCTCGCGACGGAGACCATGTCGCCGGGCCTGAGGCGCGACGGCGGTGCGACGGCGAGGTGAATTTTGCACTCACCGATCGTCGAAGATTCATTGGCGCGATGGGCTGCCGCGCGCTGCGCGCCGGGCCTGGGCGCGCACAGGCAACATCACGGACAGATGTGGCCGCCGCGCGCGCTATGCGTCGCCGTGCGGGTCGCGCTCGCGCGCGACGGCGAGACACCATTGCGCGCGCTGCGCGAGGGCGGCGACGTGTGCGCCCTCGACAGCGTCTCCGGGCTCTACCGCGACGGCGACGGCGGCGGCGTCTGCGCAACCGTATAACTGTAAAGAACCTACGTGCCGTACATCATCTGCGGCGGCGCGGGATGCCCGGCGTGCCTCGGTGGCCAAAGATAAAACAAAAGTTCTAATAGAACCTTCTTCCAAAAAATTTAGTGGTTATGGAATGATGATTTCCACAACTTTATTTGGATTAAATGTATCGCAGTCCGCCAAAAAGAATATGCTTGGCATGTTTAACGAAAGACCTGGAAATGTACATGGTTCTTCCGTGCGCATTATGTTAGTCGACAATGGATACAAGGAAGGCATTGATTTGTATGATGTCAAATATATGCACATATTTGAGCCACAAACTACAAAGGCTGATTTCCGTCAAGCTATGGGTCGTGCCACTAGATTATGTGGACAAAAAGGATTAAAATTTGTGCCTAACAAAGGATGGAAACTGGACGTATTTACTTACCACTTAACACATAAATTTGATAATGGTAAAACCATGGATTTACATGATCTTTTTATGAAATGCATATCGCAAATCTGTCTTCTCTAGATTCTCTAACGTTTTTAAATCTATTTTATTCAAATGCAATAATGATCTCCAAACACAATCAACAAGACTTGCTCCTTCAAGGAGAAGTTTCATCATAAACAGAATTTGAATGCCAGTGAACACTTTCATCATCACTATCAACATTGTTAGTATAATGCTTCAAATCCTGATACTTTTCCATTTTACTTAATCTAATTTATTGACCTTCCTAATTAGTATCCCGAAGCAATCATTTTTTTTCTAAAATTATATCTTTTTATAAATCTCTTATAAAAATGATTTAGAAGTATAAGCATAATTTTATATAACTTCTTGTGATGTCCTACGAGTCTAATTTTGATTACAATGGTGATGTTTCCAAAGTTGACAAGATTACTTTCGGAATTATGATTCCTGAACTAATTCGCAGTCAATCCGTCGTTCAAGTAATTCATCATGACACTTTTTGTGGAAATAATCCCGTAACAGGTGGATTATTTGACCAGCCAATGTGCCCAAGCGATGGACGTCGCGAGCGCGGACATGTGCGAGTGCGGCGGCATGGGGTGCCCGTCCTGCGGCAACGGCCTGATGCTCGCCGCAACAGATCAGGTGAACCTTCCCGTACGCGGGCCGGCCCCGGCGCGTAGCACGCCATCGCGCGGTTGCCCGGCCGCCGGCCCCAGGCGCCGCCGAGGGCGCCCGCGATGCCCTCGGCCCGCGCCCAGATCGCCCCGAACGTCAGCGTCGTCTCCTCCCGGCCCTTGCTGTTCAGCCAGACGATGGCCTGCTCCTTGCGGCGACCGGGCAAGACCGCACAGATACCCCGTGGACAGCGGTGTGGTTTTGAGCTGCGGCGTAGTTATCTCCCTATCGTCGCTCATCGTCTGCCACCACGCCGGCTTCTCGACGCCGTCGTCGAAGAGGTCCAGACCCGCGACGGCCGCATACTCCGTCGCCATGACGAGGACGACGACGACGGCGCAAGGCTGCCACGAGGCTACGTGCCACAGTGTGCGGCGGGGATCACGCTTTCCTCCGAGTCGCGCGGCGCGGCGCGGCGCGCTCCGGCTGCCGATGACGCCCCACGCGTACATCTGCGGCCGTGACGCCCGCCTCGACGAGTTTCGAAAGGCTATCTCGGTAATAGAACGAAATATATTATCCAAGAATCCAATCCGCTGATCCCATTGGTCGGGCGAGATTTCAGAGCTCTGAGTTTCGAGCATGGTCCAACGATCTCTGGCGCTGCGTTGGGCATGTTATGGTTCACAGGGGAAGAAAACGAGAGTAGTTCGCAGTAGGAACTCGGGGTCAGAGATCCTGAAACTTCAGTCCGTCTCGTGGGGGAACACGCAGAAGCTGAGATCTCTGTTCCCCGCCCCCCAGCGCCGCGCGACGCGCCCACCGTGGCGTGTTCGACTTCTGCTGCCTCTAGCTCGACATGGAGTGACTTTTCGAGACCGCCGACCCCAAGTTTGTACAGCGAAGTGCTCTCAGTTTCTTCCACAGTGGCCCGGAACATGCCGAACGCAGCGTCAGATATCGTTCGACCATCGTTCAACCCCCTCAATTATCATTTGTCCGAATCCCGAATAATGAACCGTTCGTTTTGTGTATGCGTGGAATAGAAAGGAAGAAACAGACAATCTTTATTCGCTAAGGACGCGTTAGTCTATCGTCTAGGGCGGCTTAGACGATGGTGGGCGTTTAGCGTGGAATCGCTGCCCGAGGACCTCCGGTGGGCTTCGTGACCCACCCGCTGTGCTAGCTCGGCCCGCCCGGGGCGTTCGGGGCCCCGCGGGCTGCGGAAGGGCGCCCCGTGCCGGGCGTGACGCCATGCCACAAGGCGCTTCTCGCGCGGCCGCTGCTTGCGATGATGTCGGGCCGGATGAGCTGCGCGCGATGGAGGGTGAGTTGCACAGGTTCTTGCACAAGCTTACCGACGGTAACGCGGCGCATGCGGTGAACATAATGACCACCGCGTTGCGTTACATTCCTCAAAGTAATTTCGAGGTGCGGCCGACTCCATTCGGTTCTTACGGTGGCTCCCTTGACTTTGTTGGTGCTCCCTATGGTCTGGAGCCTGGTGCACTTCGTGCTGCTTCTGATGAGATTGTGCGCAACTGGGATAATGTGAAGATTCGCACAAAACAATTTTGACACGGCTTCGAGTACGGTGTGCTACAAGACGAGGATGCGGATGCGTTTCCTGCTCACGTCAGGAGAATGCCCAGACAAGTTGCCTTTAATCTTAGCTCAGGGCGAGCGCGGGAATCGAAATTGTTTCCATGTCTGCGGCAAATACTGCACACAATTCTAGAACGTGTCCGTGTGCTCGGGTTTCATTTGACGCTCATGGACTTGCACGTGCTCCGGCAGTCTTCAGAACACGCATGTTTTGAGGAGCATCTCGATTTACACAATGCCAATGATGTCGCCATAATCTGTGTTCTTTCTAGAAGTGATACTCACGATGAAAGTGAAGGTGCCGAAGAGTATGCTCAGGAAAAAAGTGGAGTTCACATCCGGACGTTACCTTTGTCTCAAACATGTCCCAAAGTACGTTTTCATGGTTGTGTGTTGTGATGGAACTTTTGTAGGTGTGGCTGCCTTTAAAGCAGCCGGGCGACGGTGTCTTGATTCCAAGCACTACCATATAGCGTGTCCTCCCCCGAACGGAGTTGAGATTTGAA